TGTGTACCTCAGCTTCAGAGTCACTAGTCTGAATCCCACATTTATTGCAACACTGGTGTGTGTGTGACCTTTGCTTCAGTTGTTGACTTCAGCTGGGTGGAATTATCAGCGAGTGTGCTCTGAAAATAGCTTCTAACTCAAGGTGCTGTTAATTGTGCTGTTTAATGTTGATTTAAGCTTTTTGGTCAGTGCATCCATATTATTCTGTTATTATAGGAGCAGCTTGAACTTTCCAGAAGAGAAAACGCGGGACTCCTTGAGAGAGAACGACAGCTACAGCTGAAAGTGAAAAGTTTGCAGACCTGCCTGAAAAATGAGAAAGAAGAGGTACAACTGCTTCAGACAATATTCATTGTATCCACAGCCATGATGATGACGATCCAACCAGCAATTTAAACATGATCAACTTGTTTAATTTTTGATCTGCCAGGTGCAAAAGCTGCAGAACATAATTGCAAGCCGGGCCAGTCAGTACAATCATGAGATGAAAAGGAAGGAAAGAGAATTTAACAAACTGAAGGAGCGTATGAATCAACTTCTGGTTGACAAAAAGGAGAAGAAACAAGGTTTAACATTTTCTGACCTCATTCTATACATTTTAAAATTAAACCAATACAATGGAACTAACTAGGACCTTTCTGACACCTCAGTTTTTAGTTTTCTGTTTGTCGTGCTTTCTTCACAGCCATTGATGTATTAAACAGCATTGGAAGAGCAGATGGGAAGAGAAGCCTTTGGAAAACTGGAAAGACTGAAGCAAAGTAAGATCAAATCTTGTGGAATATTTGTAAGGGCAGTATAACTCTGTTCTCTGTTTAAAAAAACAACAAAAAAACGTTTATTTTGTACAACATTTCCTCTAAGTTTTCTAGGTGACATGCTTATGTAATTTTAGCAGCGTTGGCTTTAGCCGTAGCTGGCAGTGTCGAATCCTGCGTGGTGACGTTCCTCTGTAGAAATGGGACTTTTTTTTTTTTGTTAGGTTGCAATTGTGGAATTAAAAACTCGCAACTGTGTCCTTAGGCATGAGGGGGAGATGTACAAGACACTGCTCAGTGACTACGACACCCGACAGAGGGAGTTGGTGCTGGAAAATGCCGAGTTGAGGAAAGTGTTGCAGCAGATGAAAAAAGACATGGTGTCAATATTAAGTTCAAGAAAACCCACTCTGAAAGGGGATAAACACAAAGATGACTGCATACAGGTTAAACAGCTTGTTTCCAAGTCTTTTTTTCTTAATTCATTCCCCATAACATTTTCTGTTTGAATGTATGAAGACACTTAACGTACTGCATAGGATTCTGTATCATTTGAAACATTTGTGCCACTATCTCGGTTTGTGTATCATTAAAAATTTTTGTTTTCCTCTTTGTAGAAATAGTATTTGGATGAAAACCATCCACAAATAACAGACAAAAAAATAGATACAGAGAGGCACAGCTGATATTGTTTTGTTTTGCAGGTAATAATGATAGTCATGCCTGTTCTTCAGTCTGGTTTAGGCTTCTCTGGCAGCTTGTCTGAAATGTATTCTCATTATTTTGTCAGGCTGATTCGGAGGAGGAAGTATTTAATTCCAGTAAGGAAAGCGTAGAGCTGTATTGTGTTCACGCCCGGGAGAAGCTGACCACCAGTATTCGCCTCCAGTGGAGAAGACTCAAGAGTCATGTAGAAAGACTAGACAGCCAAGGTGGTTTTCATGCAGCACACTGTCACTGTTTCACTGTGATACATTAAGGGCATTGTGTGTTACTCTAATGAAATGTCTGCAGTGCCACAGGACAAGGAAGCTTGCATCAGTTCTCACTGTTAAAAAATTCTGGGATTTGTATAAAAGCAAGTGATACATGGACTGAATACTTTTCCAGTGACATCCTTACTTTTTTATGTTAAAATCAATGCATAAAAGGTTGATGTAAACTTGATTGTGAAATTAGATTTTTCTATTGTTTTTTTTCTAGCATCTTTGGCACAGAGGGAAACTCGCAAGGAGGAGATGGACAGGCTAATGCTGGATCTCCAGCAGTGCAAAGACTTTATTCAAACACAAGAGCAGCTGCTGCAGGTAAGACTTAAGTTCAAACTGTACTTTTTACCTAATTGAGAAGCTTTAATTTTTTTTTATCAGTGTTTGCTATCTGTTACTAAACACAGGGTCTGAGAGGTTTACCCCTTCCAATGTTAACCCACACTGAAACCTGGTTTGCATGTTTGAGGATCTGTGTTAATCACAGGACACAGAGACTTCATAAATAAATTGTCTGCTGTTCTCTTCATGTAGCAGCAGCTGAGCTCACCTTGTGATGAGGAGACGGCGTCCCTGCTGAGCGACTGCTACATGTTGCAGGAGAAAGAGCGCCTCAGAGAGGAGTGGGGGACCCTAGAGGAACAGAGGAAGATCTTTGAGAGGGAGAGGAAGACCTTTACAGATGCAGCCATAAGACTGAGCCATGAGGTGATTGGTCTGAGATAAAATACAGGGAATAGAGTAAGGCTCTGTGTTTAAAACAGCCCTGTGCTGAGATGAGCTGTTTATATACATGTGGTTTAATAAGTGTTTTGAACGTCTCTGTGATGGCTTGTATCTGGTTAACTTGCAGAGGAAAGCCTTCGAGGAGGATCGTGCAACGTGGCTCAAACACCAGTTTTTAAACTTGAGTCCATTTGCAGACTCAAAGACATCCCAGATGTCAAAGTCTAAAAGCAGCTTTTTAATATGTAAGTGTCTAGTTCTTCAGTTTTTTTTTCTCTAACACTATTAGTTAATGAACTGAGTTATTATGATATAGTAGTAGGTTACACAGTGTCGCATCATAATCCTGCTATACTGTCACTGTAAGTGTTTAGATACGCACCTGCTTTATCAGTAAAAATGTTTTTAGGTGTCTTTGTTTATTATAGGTCATGATCTTAAATTACTTGTTTGTGTTTCTTTTTGGGGAACAATCATTTTCAGATTGTACTTTAAAAGCAACTTTTAAAGTAGCAAATCAGTAATTTCCCATTTGTGATCGCAATAAAGTTTCATATTATCTCAGCAGTTGAACCAGAGGCAAGCGCAGCATCAGCTCCAGAAAAGCTTATCAGATCTGACCTAGACTTCCACACACACAGAAGCGTCCCACTCACAACCCAGTCAGCAGGCGAGTTGTATCCCACACCCTGCCTCATCCCAGAAAACAGGTATGCTGTCTTTTATTTGCATGCAGGTTTCTGAAATGGCAAAAATCATGACATAATGTACCTGTAAATGAATATGGTTCCTGTTGTCTGACTCTCTGTTGAATGTGATTTCCAGCTTAACCAAACCAAAGAGAGAAGCAGCACATGTTGATGAATCAAGCATCTTTTGTAACGGAAATATACCAGCTCAGCACAAACTGTGGAAAAACAGTGAAGACCACTGCAGTCACTCACTCAAGCGGGAAAAGAACAGCTCTATATGAGGGCAAAACCAAGATTTATGCCAAACAACTAAAGGATAGATTGTAAAATGATTAAATAGCTGTTAACAAATGAAGCCAAACTGGTTCTGGTTTGCTGCCAGTGTTCTGTGCTCTGTGGCTGAGAAAATGTAAACTGGATTTTTTTTTTTTTTAAGCTTCATATTGTTGGATTATATGGTGAAAGTATTTATTTATTTATGTAAATGTTGTTTTGGCAGTTATACACTATCCTATGGCCAATATCTTAAGGTTAGTATTTCTTTGGCACTGCAGGTGTGCAACAAAAGATCACATGCCCTGGTCATGAAATGTTGCTTAGCTTTGCTTATTGGTTGGTACTGCAGCTGAAGTTGCCTGTATGCTGCTGTTTATATCACTACCTTCAAGCTTTATCAGGTTAATCTTGTAAGCTGTCACAGAGTTTCACAATGTAGATTTTGTGATGCTGTTTGAATGTAATAACTGGGTAGAATCAATAGTTTCTAGTTTTATTATAGAAATGTGGCATATTTAACAACATTGCTTTTTTTTGTAAATGTTGCCGTTACAATTTTAATCTTTACCTTGAACATGCATGTATTTAGGGCTGCAGTACTGATGACCACTTTGCTGTTGAGGAGCATGCCTCATACTTGTGCACATAAGTCTTACCAGCAGCAAACTCAGGAGCTGTAGCCACAGTTTCACTTTGCGAAAAGTATTCTACTCAATGGCTTTCTATGTATGTGTCATTTAGAGAAATAGAAAGTGTTTTCACTTCTGTCCTATAATCTTAACTTACCGAAGTCATTAGGTTGACCAGCTCCAACATAACTGAGAAAAAGATAATTCAACAAGTAAATGATCAAACCATTAAATCAACTTTTAAGCATTTCAGCACGTAGTGCCCTGAGATGATTATTGTTGTGAATTGGTGCTGTACAAATAAAACTGAATTGAACTGAAAAACCAAAATGTAAAAATGTGTCGATTTTACATTTTGTTGTAAGCTAAGGTAACTGGCTGGTGGCTGTATGTTTAATGAACAGACATGAAGGTAGCTGTAACAAATAGTCTGATGTAGGTGTTTTGAGAATTAAGTAAAATGCTATAATATAATGCTTCCATAGAACTAAAGCCATTCTTAAATTTAAAACAACTTCTGCTTTGACATTAAGTCTTAACTGACAAATGTTAAAAAAATTTTATTCTAAATGTTCTGTTAAACCTGGTTATATACTATAAATATTTCTTATGTGATATTTCTTTAGGGGCCGTAAACATTCCTGAGGAGCAATAATCTACTATAACAATACTGCAGCAAAGTAGACAATCATGACCAAGAATCTGTAAAGAAAGAAACATAACATTATGGAACTACTGCATTCAGGCTGTGTCATAATTGATTATTGTGTTGTGACTCTGCCCTCAAAAGTTTTTAAGGAAAATGTTTGGCACTGAAACATTTTGGATTGCTAATAAGAGAATATTTTGGTGCAGCATTGATGAGTTTTCTTTTTTCTTTGGAGGGGAGAGGGGTTCTTGCCAGTTGGTTCAAAATATTATGAATGCTTCATTTATGAGTATAAGGACCTTCAGGTTTGTTGTATTTGTATACAGCAGCTGTATGTTGGTAATGATTTGAGGCAACACATACTTCACATGCTTCTGAAATTTATTTTTCAAATTTACAGTTCATACAAAGTGAAAGAAAATAATATATAACATCAGTGAAGACGATGAGATTAAGCGCACTGGGCGGTGCAGCGACAGGCCAGGTGGGCTTCTGCTTTTTCCTTCAGGTCAGTGCTCTTCTCATAGATGCTGCTCGGAGCATCAGAGTTGCTCATGTTTGAATCTGCAAGAGCGGAGAGAGTAAAGCAGTTAGCCACAAGATAGAAGCTGTATAATTCAGCATTGTGATCCAGCTGTGATTTCTTGCAGACTCACCAGCAGGCAGGCAGTGGTAGCCGACTGTGACACTAGTGGTCCTCACTGATGTGCAGCCGGGCAGGCAGCGCAGCACAGGCTCAACAGAGTAGCATCTGGACTCTTGTCCATGGAGGGTCAGCTGCTTATCCAGCTTCACAGATTCATGCTTCATGTAACACTCTGGGAAAGAGAGAAGAATGAAGGTAAGCAGTGTACATTTATTTACCTACAGCAATCCTCTTTCTAATATTAATATTTTTCTATACTGTTTTTCGATAATCCAATAAAATACTGTGTGGGTGTGTTATCATCAAGCAAATGCCTTTATTTGTTGTATTTTTCCAGTCTGAGTATAAATTCTATTTAATAAAAAAAGCTGAACTTGTTAGTATTACCAGAGCCATCCCTGCAGCTCTTTCCAGGCAGAACCCAGGAATGAGCGTAGCTGAGTGCGCTCTTGGCCAGGCGATCGTTGGGTGTGCGGAATTCCTGTCTGGTTTCCCCATCAGCCTTTCCACAGAGTCCACAAGTCTTTCCTCTCATCCAGTCCACAACTTTAACCTGAAGATAAACTCAACCGGTTCATTATTTGTGGAAGAGTGTTTTAATTGCACCAGTATATACATGAATAAATGTTAGACAAATGAAGAAAAGCTGCACAAGATAATCGGATTTCTTGTATTACCTTCACACCGTCACGATCTAAGTAGACCTCTTGAAGACCATGGCAGGGGGCATGGAGAGCAATGCCATCTTTTCGCTGTCTGATTTGAATTTTGCCTAAAATTAATGCAAATGTTGTAAATAAGTGGTTTTAAAGTTGAAACATGTTCAATAATTTTACCATGGCAGTTAAATTTGGAATAACAAAATAAAATAAAACCTGCTGGATGCTGGTATGGCAGGTTGCTGGTGGGGATTTCTACTCCATTAACCTTCACTGCGATAAGGTTGCCCTTGGGAATCATGTCGACATCACTGTTGAAAAACAGTTGAAATGCATGTAATATAATTATTTTCCAGATTTAGAATTCTTTTTTTTTGACAGTTTCTGCAATTTATATATAAATACTAATTGACATTACATGTCTCTAATCTTCACACTAATCTGGTTCTGTTCCCTTGCTTGGTCCTTCTTCAGAAGGACTATGAACTTGAGTTCTTCGGTACAATCCTGAGCCAAAATCTGGTAGCAAGAGTGGGGCCAGTCATTCTTGATTGTCCTGTTGTTGAATGATCTCACTACATCTGTGTCCAGGGCGCATTCAGCTGGAGTGGAAAGAAGAAAAATCACTAATGTAGCTACAGATCAGTCCTAAATGTAGTAATGAAAAATATGAAACCTCTTACTTTACATGTTTTTACCTGTATGAGCCTTGCTAAATGCATAGAAGAACTTGTCAGCCCAGTTGTTCAGGTATGGTTTCAGCTCTTCAGCAGTGTCACCAATTGGCAAAGCACAAGGAAGATTCAGTCCAAGTTTGTAAAAGGTCCGCTGTAATGTTATATCAGTCAGTTAGAGAGTACGTATTCAATCTGAGCGACAAAATGTAATGCACTTTTTCTGTGTGTGTTTAAAAAAAAAAGGCAATCAAATGGCACCTTTGGTGTCTTCAGCACAACATTCAGCCTTGTCTCAGCAGCAACAGCCAGAATCATTCTGATCTCCTTATGAACGTTCTTGGCCTTTGCCAGAGCCATGCCGCTTTGTCGTGCAAGAAAGGAAACGTACTTGTACCACCTAGACAGATGTAGGTTACAATTACTTTTTAAAGGTTTTAATAAATGTCAATTGCTGACCTGGCAGACAGCTGTGCAGGAAAATGTAAAAGAAAGGAATAAATTCCCACACATTTCCATATCCATTAAACCAAGCAAACATGTTCTATTTGTATATAAGTTCCATGACATTACTTCTTTGCATAGCTTATCATCTTCCTTGGAAGTTTGTCCCAGGCTAGCTTCAGGCGGGCTGCAGGCTCTTTGCCCACCAAACCAGTTTCAGCTGCAATCTCAGTTGAATATTGCTTGCACTGAAGACCCCAGGCGAACTTGGCCTAAAAATTTAAATCAGAATCAAATCTCAAGCACCACACAGAACTATTGCCAACTGAATTTGTGTCACCAAAATCAAAGTTTTTACCATCAGCTTGTGTGGGCTTAGCATCACACCGTCAGCACAGATTCTCCAGTGGTTATCCTCAGCCAGGCTGGCAGCAATGACCTGCAGTCTGGAAGTGGTTTTGTCAATGTAAGCTGCAATCTGGTATCCTTGAACCTTGTGGTCAGCTCTCACAGCACGGATGATAATGGTTGCAACAGGATGGACAGTGCTAGAGAGGTACTTGGCCTGTAAATGCAAACCAGAGATGTATGTTAATGAAAGCTAGATTTTTTTTCTCCCCACTGAATACATGACACTGTAAATTGTTTGGTATGTTAAACTTACTTTAGTGAAGATGGCTTGGAAGCTAGAGGCACTGCTGTCTTTTCCAGGGTCTGTGGAGACAGAGTGCTGTGGAGAAAGAAACCATACATTTAGCCTGCTGAAACAGAGTACATGATGCAGCTGTGTCTTTATAACAATCTGATAATTACCTGGTGGATGTGGTTCTTGGTAAACTGTGCATCATACAGTGCCTGCTGAAAAGGAAAACAAAGTAGTATATTAATTCTTGTACATACTTTTTGACTCCACAGTTTTTACATGTCAGAGGTGAAGCATCCTCACTTTGATCTGGTAGCTGGACCTGGAGGAGGAGCTTGAAGAGCTGCTGCTGAACTTGGAAGATGAACGGCTGCTTGAGGAGCTTGAAGAAATGTTTGAGCGGCGGCTCCTGGAGCGGCGGCTGCTGGAACTGCTGGAACTGCTGGAGCTGCTGGAGCTGCTGGAACTGCTGGAACTGCTGGAGCTGCTGGAGCTGCTGCTGGAGCTTTTGCTGCTGGCGGCAACAGCATCACCCTTACTGTGGCGAGAGGAGGGACCGGGAGAAGAA